TTAGATTACTAAGAAACGTTAATTTACTTGTGGATATGTGTGGGGTAAGAATGAGATATATGTCCATGTATGTGTAACTGCAGAAACACATTGCTTGGCAACAGTAATATAGTTGCACTGGAAGGAGCAATATGTCTCCCATTTGTTTTTGTGACAGGTGTTTGTTTGCATCATTCCAATCTGATTAGATGCAATTAATTCTCTGTTGTCTTCTGTGTTTTACAAGATAATGTTGTTTGTTTTATGTGAGATTTCTTTTCTTAATACTTGGAGGCTATTTATATTTAACCTGTATATAACTCAGTCACTGACATGGCATCACATGCCATACTATCCACAGCCATGAAAACCAAAAATCTCACAAGAGACGCTATTATCCATATGAAATTATTTAACATTAAGTAATTCAGAGTGTTCTGAAATCTTTTATATAAATGGTATCTATTATACACTATGAGAAACATGATACATGAGATACATGAGAAACTGATATGCCAAAATGTACAGATGTTTCTGGTTTTCAACAGAATCTGCCTGACACAGAAAGCTTACACATGGCCCATAAGATCAGCTACTGAAACCTTGTAACCGTGCCATAGCTTAGGGAGTTAGTTGCCAGCTTCTTACCATAGAGGCAGGAGTTAAATTCCAGCACGGACCATGCGAGATCTGTGGAGGTCTTAGTTGCACAGGGGCAGGTTTCCTTCAGGAACTCTGGTTCCCCTCTGTGCTTAATCCCACTGATATAGCTCACTACTGAAACTGTTACAGCCATGAAAATGTGGATTTTGTCATAAGAAGCTGTGATCCAGAGGTAATATAATGTTAATTCTACTGCAAGAGAGTCACTAGTTGTCTTTCAGATGAAGTGGAATCCAGAACCATGCATTGTACATTCTAATAAGCAAGCTCCAACTAGTATATAAGTCAGTTTGAATTGTTACAATAAGGAGGAGTCCCCCGATCTGTGAGGCTGTTGTATCTAGCCAAGCAGAAATATTTTCTATGTTGTTGAAATGTGTGTTCAGGTGAGGGATACGTAAGTTTTACAGAATGTGGCCATCAGGGGTATAACTGTAGAGTAAGAACATATGCTACTATGTTTGGAAGATCCTTAAGTTGTAACTACAAGATTAACTGAATATTTCACAGCTGTCACGTGATATATTTGTAAAATTCTATGTAACTTCAATTTTGAAAGATAGGTGTTAAGTATATATAAAAATGTAAATTTTCAATTTTGTACCACATATCTCATAGAGAACACCCAAAGATATTATGATATTAGTAGAGTTCTGGATGGAATTCAATTTTTCATTCCTCCATATCTTTTTTCAGTTACATGATTTAAACTTTAATTTATTAATTTGAGTGTTCCTTCTTTATTATATATTGTGATATTGACAAGGAAAGCTACCATATCTCAGGGGAGAAACGTGCGTTCCTTTAGTTATGAAATAAAAGGTTGTTTGTAAGTAAAGTTTTTAAATAATCATGTACTTTATTAGATCACTAAGTCTTTGGGAGGCAAATGTATTAAAGTATATAGAAATTAACAAAAACCATATGTAAGCAATATAATTCTGCAGCACTGCCTCCATGGCTCATATTCTGTAGGGTTAATAACCCTTAATAAAGTGATTATCATTTTAATAAGAATTTGTTGAAATATTTTTCAAAATACAATACTATTTTTTATTTGCATATTTTAATGTTTTTAATGTTACACTGATGGTTTATTGTTGCTCAATTACTATCTTTTGTGCAGTATTCACTTTGGCTACAGACATTTTACTTCTTTTTGAGGTTTAAGGTTCTCACAGTGGTGAATATGAAGACTGCAGTCTCTTGGGATGTAACAGCACATAGTTTCGTAGAAAGGTAGCAATGTTATGGAGGAACCTGCTGCCTTCAATCTTTTGTGTGCCTACCACACTAGATGATATATCTGTGATGACAAATCTAATTTTTCTTCTTTATTTAGACACCCAAAAGTCAAAGTTTCCTGATAAAATTGTTGTTGGATTCAGCATGCAGTCAGACAAGGCAGATGATTAGTACTGTTCTGGCCTTTCAGATGACTTCTAATTTAACACAGAGATAAAATATATCTAAATCTGCCAAGATTACTTCATGCAGGCCATCTTAACCTTACACAAGTGTGTCATTATCACTTAGTTGTACAGATTGTTACATCATTATTAGAAAGTTCTAGTTTCTGCTTTCAGTATGCATACTCTGGTGAGAAATTCAGACACACTGGTTCAATACTTTTTTTCACCAGATAGCAGAGGGTATGTGTGGATGGTGGTGTAAGGGGACTAAAATTCTGAGTATGTGCACACAAAATTATATTGTTTTTATTGGGAAGTGCTTATTACTTTGATTTAGAAGTAATGCTTTTGTGATCTGTTAAACTCCATATTGCAGTACAGATGTGCTGTCATTTCTTCTTGAAATTTTGCGTTCTGAAGGAAGACCAACTTCTGCAGGCCTATAAATTTGCCACAGAGTTCTCCTTCCTGATAATGTCCTAGCAATGAGATTTTTTTGATACCATTATTACTGGTATTAATTTGCCAATTGTGAAAGCTCTTTTTAATTGCTTGATGTTGCAGTAACTTAATTTGTTCTTTTGCTCAGCCAGTATCATAGGAAAGTGATAACAACCAGCCATACTACGTAACAGATATTTAATCTTTATATTCACCACCCCAAGAACCTCAATTTTGCATGGGAACAAAGTCATTTTGAATATCTGCATAAGGACATAAGGATATTTTAAAATAATTTAGATGTTGGACACAGCCTGTAGTGATAAAAGTATGGAAGGAAAAAGGAATGGACAGTGTTATTTGTAAGAATCAAAAGCAGGTTCTTGGTTTTATGAATGAAATTGCAAAATGTGTTGGTGCGTGTGCGTGAGATGTTGCGTCTTTACTGCCAAGCTGAATCTCTCTGCTATCCTTCCTACCACATAATGACCGACTCAGTGCACATTACTTATAAGTATGTACAGTGTATTTTCACAGGGATGATCATATTATGTAACATTTATAATACAAATAGTTTAAAATTATTTTTCTTGTTGGATTATACTTTTTATATATCTCAGTGGCTATCTTCCTTAATACTGTGTGATACTTTTATAAATATTTGCATCTTCTGTGGCTACAGAAAATATATTAACTGAACACAACAGCATGCTTTATTTTTATTATCATCTCCACTACTACCATCATCATCAGAGAATGACTATTGAAGTTTACAGCACACAATACAAACATAGAACACTGATATTTACGTAGGTAAATAAGTGCAGAACAGCAGCAAAAAAAAAAAAAAAAAGGCAAAACCAGACAAAAGTTCACTGAACTTAACATAGTAGCAGTTGAAGAGAGAATATGGGGGCAAATGATGATATGAGAGAGGTACTGTTGCTTCCTGAGGGGCACACAGTAGCGTAGTTGGTTGAGGCACTATGCTACAAACCGGAAGGTCATTGGATTTTTTTCAATTGACCTAATCCTTTCAGCTGCACTATGGCCCTGGGGTCGACTCAGCCTCTAACAGAAATGATTACCAGGAATTAATTAAATAATTTTCCTGGGGAGTAACGTGTGGCCAGCACGTAAGACTGACAACCTTACTGCCATCCGTGAGCTGATTGTATAGATAATGTGATATCCTCAACATCTCTCAACCTTATGGGCCTTCACGGCCTGTTACAGGGATAGCTTTACTTTTTTTTGCTGTTGCTTCCATCTTTGAGGTACAAGGGTGGAGGCAGCACAGTCTTTACTGTCCACTGCACGAAATAATGTCACATTGAAGAAAAATTTATTCATCATATCTGCCACCATGAAAATCTCAAAGCCCACATTTGCTGGTTATTTGATGTGATTCTTTGCATACCCTTCTGAAAAGTCACAAGGTACTTACTGAATGCTGTTTTCACATCTTCAAAGTAGTTTCATACACAGATACAGTGGTGCCAGTATTTCTGGCAATTGAACCTCCAGACCTGGAACAGAATACAGAAAGAATTAATGTCCATACGTAACTTCGTACTCTTCAAGAGGTTATGATGGGCTGGTACATGAGACTTAAAAGAACCACATATAGAAACTTGCTGAGGAAACCTCTTACAGAGTACCAACCTGGAAATCCAAGATTGAAGTGGAAGGATATTATATAAATACTCTCTGAAAATGTGACTGGAACAACTTTTCAGAAGACAGGATACCATGGAGAAGTTTGTGATGAGTGCTGAAACAGGTTGAATATTTCATTTTTAGTTGTAGGAGTGGGGTGACAGAACCACGTGGTGCTCTAGCCTTAAAGGGGCCTATTCTACTAGCTTTGGATGATAGATGAGTACAGAGTATTTATGGAATGATGGCAATGTAGAACTGAAGCGCTTGGAGAGAAACCTGCTCAAGTGCCACTTTTTCCAAATCACCCTGGGATTGAACCTAGCTGTTACTGCAGCAAAATGCAAGTGACTGTCTGGGCTTTGGCCATCAGATTCCTTAATTGAAAAGTTTTTATCAAGATGAGTTCTTATACGAGCAAATCCTGTGCTAAGGATTTTGGTTGTATATTCAACAAAGGTGTTAGAGAACAGGATGGTGAAATGCATAATGAGAAGCTTCATAACTTGTATTTTTCACCAGATATTATTAGCACTGTCAAATCAAGGAGACTGAATGAGGTTATCAGGATAGGGGCCAAAGGTGGCCTCTTGTGAATATGCAAAGAACCTTTGGGTTCCATAAAAGTGGGAAGTTTCTCAACCAGGATATTGGTTTCTGAAAGATGATTCTGCTCCATGAGGGGACACTTACGGGAAGAAAGAAGGGGAAGTGAGGAGGCTTTATCATGTGATCAACCACCTTGATGGGAATTTATCTGGTGACAGGTGTTTTCTTGAAAGGGGATAGATACACATATGGACATTGAACTCCTGAAAATATGAAAAATGTAAGAGGAAAGCAAACTTTTCTAAGTTCTTCAGATTTACTGACATATTTAAAGCAAACTTACATTTAAAGAGATTATAAGTTATAAAAACAATACGAACAGATTAAAAAATGTTACAACATGATCTCTATGTATCTATTTACAAAGCCTTGAAGAAGGGTTTGTACACCTTCTGATCACTCTATATCAATACTATGACAAGGTGTCTCAGTCTGTCCATGGACACTGCATCACTATTTACAATATTTGTTGGAGCGACAGACAAAACAAGCTACTTACAAATGCATATTTGTACATGGAGTTTCTTAAATTTTAGCAATTACATTTAACACATTCATTGCAAAGAATTGTAAGTTACTGTGTGCCAGTGCTGATCCTGTCAAATGACAGGCTGTTACCACTGTATATGTAACTGATATTTTCTTCTATAGATGTGACTCAGATACAGAGAAACTCTTCAAGTGTGGCTTGCTGAAGCACAAAGGAAATGAAACATATAGTGACTCTAGACTGTTTTCCACTTCACTTCTATTTCTGTTTCAAACTGTTTTCATTGGAACTGGTTAGTCCAGCTGGTAAAATTTCACACAGCATGGCAGTAACTGTCTTAAGCATTCAGTGGTCAAAAACTGTTACATGGGATAGAAAAATAAGCCATGTGAATATGTAAGCAGTAAATGTGTTAATTATGCACATCTATGTCCTGGTTTCATTTCCTCCAATACATAAAACATTGCTAAACGTTTCAAGACTAAAAATGGCAAAGAAAATAACTTAGATACAATTCTTACATATTTAATTATTTTTAAAATTTGCAATTATGGCTGAAGCTGCAAGAAATCTTTGGCTTACATGTAATCTCTTATCACACTACAATAAGCACTGCACCACTGTACTAACACCTTGATATAAACAATGCAGATTTCTGTATGTCTGTGTGCTAAATAATCAGCTGTTATTTTCCACTTCTGTACAACAGTGGTTGGTAATCCTGTAGTCTTTGGAACAGACACAAATATGTTACTGACCCCAAAAAGGTGATTATATGAAAAATTTAATTTAAAACTGCAAGTAGGTCCACATCAGTATATTATCTACACTTTTCTCACTTGTTTGTTTTCCTAGTTATTTTTGTTTACCACAACAAGAAATTTTATTGAATGATTATACAATTTATTCCCATCTGGTTATGTTTCATACTTTGATAAAAAGTAACTGAATAATTACAGTTTATGGCAGAAGTAATGTTGAAATATTGGTAATCAACTTTTCACAGCTGTTTCTCCAAAGTTGCATTAGTATATGCACAGGTTCTGTTTACCAGTGATCTCTCTCTTCACTAAAAGAGGATGTTATTCCTGATAATTCTGTTTTTTTCTCTACCAACCAGTTTTAATGCTGATTATATTAATTCTAAAAGTTATAATGATGGTATATTACAATTAGGTTTACTGAGTTTCTAGACATTGTTCACTGTCTTAGTATTCCAAACAGAATGTTTCAGAACAAGATCTAGTTCCATTCTTTTCGCCCGACAATGGAAATGGTTAATTTCTGAAATGTTCTATTCAGAATACCAATGAATGAGGTCTAGAGATTCAGTATCATGATTCTATAAATATTTACAGCCAGTTTATTTTCACATTTCAAACATATGAGTTCATAATGCAACATTTAAAAAAGATATGTAATTAAATAAACCAATAAATTTCAGCTGATCTTAACTGAAGTTTTCATTTGTAGCTCTGAACAATTAAATTACATTACCTAGTACCTGAAGTGCAGGATATCAATTTGTCTTTCAGTTTATCTGAAATTTCTTCTAAAATCACAACATGCCAACTGCATCATCATACACCTGCAATGGGAAACTCAATACCTTTGCATATTATTTCAACTGCACCATAACAGCAAAAATGCAAGCCTCCCCCCCCATGTGAAGAGTGGTGGTGATGATGATGATATCTACATCAACATGAATATCTGCAGTATTACAATGAATGACAAAATGTTTTCAAGATAACTGATGATACTATAGGAAGTTTTTGAGTTACAAAAGTCTCAACAACATCTGTACACACAAACCACAGAACTTCCCATAAGTGTCCTGCCACTTCTGATTATGCCTTTGAAGACAAGTTCATCCTGCATTATATTTAAAAATATATGTTGTACCTCACAGGAAACTCACTGTCTCCATTACAGACAAACTTGTTAATCATGTTTTGGGAAATAATCAATACTTACTGTGAGAAAAATACATTGTATGTGCAAAACGTTCAAACTATAAAGGGCCATATGAACTACTATAACAAGTTTCTGTTAATATTAACTCAATTAATAGATTTCTCTTAGGCCCATAATTTTGAATAAGTTGTCACGATGTATATCTGTAATCTAACATAACCTAACCAAGCCTAACCTATGTAAATTGTCAAAAAGTATATCTGCATCACAGAAAAGGGTTAAATCCCTCTCTCATGAAAGACTTCTTCCAATATGGAAGACAATGTCAGTAGTCAGCTGGAAGTATTTTCAATTAGTCTGTTTCATTACGGGCATTATAGCACTATAGTACAATCTCAGTAATCCAGCTGTGCACTAGTCCGACACGTCCAGTAATCCAGCATAAGGTGCCACACAGGGGTCTGTGACCTTGTTTAGGTTTCTACATGCAGCAGAGGCTGACCTGTGTTCAGTCGAGCTTGACAGACTGATTTGTTTAGACCATCATTAGTGCACAGTGTTTCAGTTCAATACTATACATTCCTGTACAGTACTTTTCATACAGCAGTGGATTTAATGTGTGCTGAAGATGTCCAGTTGTGACAAACTGACTAAGGTGGATACAATTATGAAACTTGATAAAGGTGAAAAACTTGTTAATTTTTCTAAATAGTACGGTGTTGGACATGCTAAATACACTTTTTCCAAGTAATCATTTTCGGTAATCTGGCGGTACCTTGGTCCCATATATGTCAGATTACCAAGCTTGTACTGTACTGCTATTATTATTTTAACTTAATTACAGGTCAAAAATATTACAGTTTGCTAGTTTAGGAACCTAATCAACATTCCATAACCTGCAGATTTCCTGCATTGTTAACTAACTTGTCAAAACCCTCTATACTCTCACAGTTGTTTTATAAATAGTGCACATTATTAGCAATAAGATATAATAATGGAGTGAAAGAATTTATCAAAAATGTTAATTATGACATCCGCTGGTAAGCAACTTACTGTCCAAAAGTCTGGTGAATCCTAGACAAACACATCCCTGTAACAACCAAATGCCAGCTTCATTTTAAGTAGGATTTCAATGATTAATCAGTGAGGTTCATAATCCTTTAATAATTATTTACATTCATCATACATACAATCCCAGCTATTTCTATTTAGGCTTTGTATATACATAATGGAATACCTCATGCTCAGAGTCATTCTCAAATGTATTTAAAACCACCTGACAGGATGTGATATCATTTGATGAATTTCATTCTTGTTAGCCACTACTTTCAGGGCTTTTGTTGGGCCTTCACATCTTACACGGTGGCACTGTCACTCTGACAGGCAGTACCCTACTTGACACCAAAAAGGAAAGATTGTGAAAATAAGAAACTGTAGCCTTCATGTTCAGTGACCCATATAAAATAATGCTAGAAGATGTGGAAAGTTTCATTAGCCTACCAGTAAGGAGTAATATGATACTACAGAACTGCAAGTTAATGACAAAAGATTCTATCACTTAAACCACTGGCATACTACTGTGAAATAATGCTGGATGAAAGCCAAAACACTATACTTAGTAAACAACACATTTCAAGCAGATCTCACAATGTTCATTTTCCTATGGCAGAGATTTCCAGTCCTACAGATATATTTTATTTTTCTGCAGACTTCTTACTGTGGTGATTGTGGTCTTCTGTACTGAGACATCATCTACTCTTCTTACACCAGTGTTTCACAGAAGTGCACTGCCTCCATCTTCTGAGTTGAAGTGACTCTGTTGAGGATGCAGTTAGGTTATACAGGCAGGTTACAAATCGGGTGGTCAATCAGATCAGTGGGAGGGGAAGGGGAACAGGGGCCTCCATGGCCTGTTACAGGGATAGCTTTACTACACAGCACATGGTATGACACATTTTCATGGGCAGTGTCATGAGAACAACAAATCCCACATAAAAAATGCAGTATTTCAGAAACCAGTTTTCCTTCTATCTTCAGGCAAGGGGGAGGGGAGAGGCAGGGGAATAATCTGATGGGTCCATTTTTAGGAGACCAGTGATCAAAATTAGATACTTCCAACAAACACACCAGGTTACACCCTCTCTTTCATCTGCAGGTGGAAGCAGTACAAGTGTCTGAAATGTTGCATGTTTAGTAGTGCAGTGAGTGAGACTTTTCAACAGATTATGTCCCCCAAATTACTTCAGCTTCCAACATGTTGCATTTCTGTTATAAAACTTTTATGGATAATGTCCAGAGCATTAAAACCAGATGCAGCTTCCAGGAACACAGAAACAAATTATCAGTTATGTAAGTGGCTTTAACTGCAAATTAACTTAATACACGTGGGTATCAAATCATAGGAACAACTAAATATAAAAACCACAACCACACAGACAGACATTTTGTTGACTATATATAACAGTCTTTCATCATGGTCCAGTAATGCTCTTTCCTTTCCCTTTGCACAATGCAGTGCTGATGCAGCAACAAAGAGATGCAAGTACAGTTAACTTGCCCTGATACGGAAACCACTGCTCTAGTACGTGTCCCCCGATGTAAAGGGAACACAGAATGAAAGTCCAGCCTGCAACAGCTATAGTGAGCACAGTACTGGAGTGACGTGGATATGAAAATAATACAGAATATAATCAACACATATAAATTCTACTGTCAATGAACAATTATTTATTAACATTTATACCACTACATGTTTCGACCCTAATGGGCCATCCTCAGGTGCTGCAAGTATCACACACTCAACCACTGAACTGCAACGCTCACGTTCCCATGTATATACAAGTGGTTCATAAAAGGTTACTTTCTAACTTCACGTGTGTCTCAGATTTAGCGAATATTTACTGAACACACTCACAATCACAATTATTATCACCTATCACATCCTCTTGATGTTTCTCCAGCACTATCACAATTCCTCTCGGTGAGGCATCTGCTGATCTGCTCGGTGACTACTAAAACCCAACTCTTCTCTTCAAAGGCTGGAAACTGACTGCTAATGCTCCAGCGATTTCTAAACTTCAACTGACTTCAACGGCGAATGCATTATCCCCTTATATATCTGCGGTTGTTGCTATGCAGTGAACCTTCCATCTCTGGGGAAACGCGTTTGTTGATTCTGCAATTCCTATGCAACAGCCCTCTGTTATTGCATTACCATGGAAGTATCTACTCCAAATATGTTGCAATATATTCCAATTCATCAATTAGACTAGACTAGACTAGACACTGATTCAAACAAGAATTAAACAGGAATGTGGATGGGGGTTGGGAGGTGTTTAGTCTAGTCTAGTCTAGTCTAATTGATGGAAATATAAAGAAAGTAACCTTTTATGAATCATATGTATATAAATGGGAATGTAAGCGTTGCAGTTCATTGGTTGAGTGTGAGACTTGCAGCACCTGAGGATGGCCCGTTAAGGGTCAAAACATGTAGTGCTATAAATGTTAATAAAAATTGTTGCGCTGATTGTAGAATTTGCATATGCTGACTGTATATACGCAACAGGATGCAAACTTTAAAAATACAGAATATAGTTCATGAACGTACAAACTCTCCCCCACAGCTCTATTAGCTGCATGCACAGCCACTCCGTACTATATTTCTACATATCTGTAAGACAGAGAATGGGCACTAATGACTACATCAGTAAAACAAGGGTTCTGCAATATGGAACCTCCAAATCTTGTAATCATCTTCTTCTCTTGGATGATGGCACAAGTGTCTCAGTGACATCTGAGCCATGGCGTTTACCGGTGCAGTTTGCGACAGCTTCTGTGGACATAACACATAATATGGAGTGTTTAATTTAATATCAAAGTTAGAACAGTAGCCAAGGCTCAAACTGTTATGGTGTGCCAAAAAAGGAAACTGTACAGTGTGTTAATACATGATCTCATTCATCATTCTAATATGGTACCATTAACATGTATACCAATGGCTGATCTTATGTTTATTCTAATGGAGCTACTATCTGACACACAGGATAATTTACTTCACTTAAATTAACAGAAGTGGAGATTCTGAAGGAGAAGAATAATAAACCATTCTAAATTCACGGCCACACTCTCATTATTGCAGAGAAAGTTGTGTTGCTTGAATGTCATTTGTCAGGAAAACTTTTTAAAGTAAAAACATAAAGAGTAATTATTTTAATGCAGTAGTGCAACATAGATTTGCTGCACTAATCTCTGCCTGAGCTCCATCTCCCACCACTCCCATCATATAGGTGGCAAGCATGCTGTACTTCTCAGCCTGGTGCACAGCTCTCTGCACTTGCGATAGGTACTTTCAGCCAGCAAATTTATAGGATTCTCACTCCTAAGCGGGTTGCTCTGCCTACTGAGGATATAACTCAGTTGTCTTCTGTCCTATGACTGGTCAACACACATTGGCAGAGTGCTGTCTCAATGCAACATCAAGTCAGTCAGCTTTCTGCCAAGGAAGACCTCCAGCTTCCTTTACATGGTCAAGAATGACCTAGGACTGAAGACAAGGACTACAGAGAACCTCCTGTGAGTGTGGTCAGGTCTACATTGAGCAGACAGGCCATTCAGTTGAAACTAGAGTCAATATGTACTACTGGTACCTCCATTCTGATCATCTATACCAGTGGTTCTCCACCTTTGTGAGACTGTGGCCAAGTTTGATGCCAGGGCTCGGTACCAGGCTACAGCCCCAGAGGTTGAGAAACACTGATCTACACAGTATCAACTTCAGCTCCAGAGCATCAAATCCATATACAGGGTGTCCCAGGAGGAATGGACCAAACTTCGGGAGGGTGTTCCTTATGTTAAAGTATGCCGATATAACCCAAAACACCTATGTCCAAAGTTGAACGGTTACGGAGATAATGGCCCAAGAAAAGTGTGGTCTTCTAGCGGGTCCACGGATTATACCTATCAGCTGAGAGGCCTTATCTCTGTTTGTCCTTGAGTGCCGTGATTCACCCTAGTCATGCTTATGTAGTTGGCTTCATCAGGACGCGCAGTCAGCACGTTACGCCAGCGCATGCCATTCATGTCTCATGTATAGTGCTTGGAAACCCTAAGGACAATTATGACATGGCGAGCGAGTATTTTGTACTTCAATTTTATGGCTTCATGTCACTCACAAGTTAGTTTTATGTTACGTACACTATTAGCATTACAGAATCCACATATTCCTGCCAGTTTTAATATGTATTTTGTAATCAACAAGTGTGCAACGCCGGTCAAAGTTTGATACTTCTCTGGCCATTATCTCCGTAACCGTTCAACTTTGGACATAGGTGTTTTGGGTTATATCGGCATACTTTAACATAAGGAACACCCTCCCGAAGTTTGGTCCATTCCTCCTGGGACACCCTGTATATGTACAGTAAACCCCTTGCTAATCTGGTTACAGTTAATCTGGATGTCAGATAATCCAGACTGAAATATGTAAAATGCTGTTCACAGTAGAGCACATACTTTAAAAGACACATGTCATTTAGGAAGGCAGATCAGTCACTTGTCTGTCCAGCCAAAACTTCATAGTTTCTTCAAACCTGCATTATTATGTTAAAAAAAAAGTACAACTTCCGAGTCTTCTATAAAAGAATAAACGTACTGTCCTTTTATAGTTTTTAAATAAAAGTTCTAGAGTGATATTTTTTTATTTACTCATATTTGCAGCAGCACTACTTATATCATTAAGTTTTCCACTAATTTGTGTTCTAAGATTTTTGTCTTTTAAGGATACTTTTGCTTCACTAATCTGGATTATCACTTAATCTAGATGACCTCTCCCCTCAGTTACTCTGGATTAGGGAGTTTACTTTACTACATTATCACGGAGGTGACTGAGATTGAACTCCATGCCACCAACATGGGCAACAAGGATGGCTATTGCCAAAGAAAGTCATGAGAACCTCTCATCCGTTCACTGACAGAACATAGGAAGCCTCCATTGTAAGATTTCCTGTGATGGTATTCTCCGATCTGCCTCCCAGGCTTGTTGTACAATGCCTTTTCAGGTCATACATCAGCTTTGCTTCCACCATCTTCTTTCATATATTGACCACCATTCTCTGCTTGCAGTCCCTGCTAACCTACATGTTCCATTGGGCAATCAAGCCAATATTTCTCCTGCCCTCCCCATCAGTGCATTTTTACAAAATACAGCCCTTTCACAGTCCCATTCCTTTACTCCTGTCCTTGCACCTATTATTTATTCCTAGCCTCCCACTCCACCCTATATGAAATTGGTTTTCCACATAAAGTTCACTCTGCTTGCAGTTTGTTTGGCTTATTTTCTGACCCTGAAGATGAATGCAGTATGTCCCTCCTAAACATCAGTAAGGCTGAAAACCCACTGACGCGACTAGTCGTGAACGGTTAGCCACTCTTTGTCGCGCACGTCCGTTAGTTGTACATATTAGGCGTCCGAAAGCTCTGCCGCCTGTGTGCCGAATTCCAAAACTTAACCATGCACGGCTCATAAAAGCAATACAAATAACAGCCGCGAGCAACAACACTTGACAAACCACGTGCAGCTTGTCGCGTCAGTGGGTTTTCAGCCTAACTCTACCAGATTACATGGCATCACATCCCAAAAGATAGTACTCTTCAAAGTACTGTAAGTTCAGAAACAGGGGCACCTTTATTTTCCAGGAATAATGAGTTTTCAATCTCTCAGTATTAAAGGCTTAGTGTCTGGACTTTTGTTAACTTGTGGGTAATGATGTTAGTACAGAAGAACCTCCAACACTTGGCCAGATGGACCGCACCCATCTGCCGCTAAAAACAGGGCAGTCCATTGTCAATAAAGTTCAGCAACTTGAAAGACTGACAAAACACATCTGAAACACATGAGATTCTACACTATGAACACAGAACAATAAACTGAAGACAAAACGAACAACCAAGAGAACTGATACATTTACATCATCAGAAAACACAGAACTACATCAACAATAAAACCTCATTAACTGATATGATGTCATGTGGCAGATGTCCAAGTATGACAGGATCCCCGTCAAGAGGCACAACAGAGTACAAATTTCTTCATGTCAATTGAAGACAAAAACAGAACCCATTTCCACAATTTTGTGGCTTTCATATAAAAAAAAATTAGGATGGACAAAGCCCAAATAAATAGCCTTGAACTGTGTATTACATAATCAGATAACTCTAAATTTAATGGGTAGAGGCCATGCCATAGTTCAGGTGGCTAGTTGCTGGTTTCCTATCATAGGGGCCTGAGTTCAGCCCCATGTGGGATTTGTGGTGGACAAAGTGAACTGGAGCAGGTATTCTTCATATACTTCAGTTTTCCTTGTCAATCCTCCCTCCACCAACTGCTCTATACTCATTAATCATCCCGCCATCAATGCTATATAGTCTCAATACTGACAGCATCATCAAATAATGCCGAACAAAGACATAAGGAGATGGTGCAAGATTTAGGTTGGGCATTTCAATAGAAATATGATAAATGTAAAGAAGACGGAAAATAAACAAAAATGTGTCTTATCCTTTTGTACAATGGGGAATATCCTGAAATATAGGATTTAAAATTCTTCCTTCTGGTGTAACCGTAAGATAAGATGTCAGCCGAGAGGAGTGTTGCAGATTCGTAACATGGAGGTCTCATGATCTATGTTGTTATTCTTTTATACATCAGTAAACATTTAAAAATTGTTTTTAAGACATTTAGTTTCCATTAATATGCCCTTCAGTTCATGAGCCATGTTACAGTAAAACTGCACACCATGTATAAGCAAAGGTAATGTAATGGTGCAGTGCTGCTTTTGAAATTATGCAGTTTCAGAGTACCAAACCAATGAACTGTCACGTACTAACATATTCAACAAATATAAGTTATGTATGTCATGAACGAGTGAGCAGTCTTCTGTTTCCTTTAACTATGTCTATTTTGCACTGATAATATTATGGTGTAAATATGTGAACTGTAAAATATTATACTGTCATGTGACTGAGTGACTATAGATGGGGTCTGGATTGGTAACTGGATTTACAAGTAACTATAATGGCCTCACTGGTTTACACACACACTAGTGTTCTCAGGCTGTTAGTCTCCACTAGTCACTGCCTGCTAACGGATCCCACTGATGGAGATCCTTCATCTTCCATGCTCACGTCCTCACTGTCTGGCGAATATCCGACAATTAAACTCTTGCTAAAACTGACTAACTCCCAGGTTGTAGGCCATCTCATACCAACCTCCTCCTCTTCAATTCACACACTGACTTACAACTGACTGCAGCTCAGTTGGTGTCCTTGTTACATAATCCCTTGGCAAAGACTGCATAGAAAACACTGTTTCCAACAGTACCTCTATTGTTGCACATGGACTGTTGGGATTCCCATGTGATCGATACCTAGCCAGTCCATTGCCACGCTGGCTGCTGCCCAGCAACCACTATTGTCTCATTTTGTAGTCTCTGCCTAGCAATGGGTCTGTACATCACAATATACATGAGACACCTTACAAATGACTAGTTGTGCATGTTGTTCCTGAGATATAATGTCAAATGTATGCCTCAATGTATCATTTGATAACATGTAGATCTGTCAAGGCACAAAGGAGAAGAGAAGAGGTTTAATAAAATTGTATTAAATAAATTAGTATGTCTCACTTATTAATCATTTTACTACCACAGTCGATAAGTTCGTGGAATGGCCACAAAGCGTTGTATGGGAATTTACTGCCAATATGGTTCAGAAATGTTTAGAACAGCTAGACTTGCACAGCAGCCAACTGCAACTATTTTGAGGGCCGATGTGGATCTGCATAAGTGTATGTGAATACCTTATAATATTATGTGATAAAATCACATTACACGAACTTAATGACTCTACCACGTATGTTGTATGAATATACAAGGACGATTCGGAAAGTAACCTCCGTTAATTTTATTTTAGGAGAGAGCTTGTGCATGTGAGGTATTGTCACACAACTCATCATGTTGTAAACCATCACATAACTGATCACCTAGTGTTTGTTCTTGTCTTTACAGAGTGAGTTATGATATGTCATGCAATTGATAATCCTGCCAGCTGCAAAATTCTCACTTTTATCCACTTTCTTCATGCTAAAAACATGAGTGTTTTTTAAATCCATTGTGAATTATGCGCAGTTTATGGCCAAACTGTAATGAGTGAATACACTGTAAGGCAACAGTGTAAAAAGTTCAAAGATGGGTAAAGAACTGTTCATGATGAAGAGCAAAGTGGTCGGCCATCTGTAGTGAGTGATGAACTTGTTGTGTTGACCAAAAAATTTGTGAAAGTCTGCACTTCACATGTGTATTTCCACAAATTTCATGCACTGATCTCTAAGAGAATATCACAGTTAGACTAAGCTATCACAAGTTTTGTGCTTCATGGGTTCTGAAAATGCTCATAAGTGGTCGGCCATCTGTAGTGAGTGATGACCTTGTTGTGTTGACCAAAAAATATGTGAAAGTCTGCACTTCACAATTTCAGAAGTTTCATGTGTATTTCCACAAATTTCATGCACTGATCTCTTGGAGAATATTACAGTTAGACTAGGTTATCACAAGTTTTGTGCATCATGGGTTCTGAAAATGCTCATAAGTGGTCGGCCATCTGTAGTGAGTGATGACCTTGTTGTGTTGACCAAAAAATATGTGAAAGTCTGCACTTCACAATTTCAGAAGTTTCATGTGTATTTCCACAAATTTCATGCACTGATCTCTTGGAGAATATTACAGTTAGACTAGGCTATCACAAGTTTTGTGCATCATGGGTTCTGAAAATGCTCATAAGTGCACACAAAATGCAGAGAATAGCTTCAGCTTTGACTTTCTTAGAGCAATACTGCAAAGATGGCAATGAATTTCTCAATCACACTGTAACAGGTGATGATACCTGGGTTTCATCTGTGAATGCTGAAACCAAAGAACAATTAAAGCAGTGGTTGCACACACATTCACCAAACAAGCCAAAAAAGTTTACCACATGCTGTCTGCCACAAAGCTGATGGCAATTATTTTCTGAGACAGGAAAGGAGTGCTGATGGTAGAATCCATGCAACAAGGGACCAAAATAATGCCAGAAGTGTACTGTGAAACACTAAAAAAAACTGCACAGGGTCACTCAAAACAAAAGGCTTGGAATGCTGACATCTGGCATAGTATTCTTCCATGACGATGTACTTCCGCATACAGCAGCTCACACTTGAGCACTGCTGGAGCATTTCAACTGGGAGTTGTCTGACCACACTCCATACAGCCCTGATCTTTCTCTGTGTGACCACCACCTGTGTACCTACCTGTAGAACTGGTTGCGATCAGTGTTTTAATAATAATGAGGAGCTAATGGAAGGCGTCAAAACATGGCTAAACTCACAGGCAGCAGATTCTTTGACACAGGCATACCAAAACTTACCATTCAATATGACAAGAGCCTCAGTTCTGAAGGTGACTATGCTGAGAAGCAGCTTAAGCATATACGTATTTTTTGTATGTAATAATTTTTTTGTCACTGCTTCTCTTGTTAACAGCTCACTGGAGGTTACTTTCCACATAGCCCTTGTATTACTTATAAAACAAAATGACTGAACACAATGGCATAACACTTGACTTGAATGAAGGGGGTGTTTTGCTCAAATTTTGGCCAGAACACCAGCTATCCTGACTGGAGTTTTTCATGGCTTTCCTAAGTCCCTCCAGGGAATTTCCATGATAGTGCTTCATCAGACCATAAGTGCTTCTTTCAAAATCCTTTCCAATTCATCATTCACCTATGATCCTACCATCTGATACTACACATACGATCCTACCATCTGATGCTACACGATCTACCTACTGATACCATCCTAAAATAATCCTGAATCCTTAATTCTTAAATACAAGATTTGTGGTACTTTTTAAATGTTACTGATGAAAAAGAAGAAGCATATGGGATCAAAGCCGACACCTCCACATTACGAGCCTGCAGTATTACTCCCCAGCTACGAACACCTCTCCATCTGAGTCATATATCACATTGCAATCACAGAAAAGGCAAAAATTTTAAAGTCTACATTTCAGGAACTAATGCCCACTGAACAGTGGGGCATGATGTGTGTCTGTTTATATTCCACTGATAACATATTTGTTGAAATGCCTAATACAAGTCTCATACTCTCTTCTCGTTAGTTAATACAGTAATCCCCTTGTTTTTTGGTAAAGAATAATGAGGTTTTATTGTGCATGGGAACCAGGCATAATGTACCTTGGCCGAGAGAAGAAGACACATGTCCTCGGACACGTCTTGAGCATTGGCTGAAGAGTGGCCGAGGTTTGTAGAGATCATCACTGCTATAGCGTTGAGCACGACCACCAGGAGTACCAATGCCACCACTCCTGTTGGCAGGAATGTGCACTTAAAAAATTTAGAACTTGCAAACTGCCACTTTGAGTTGCTGTACCTATTGTGTTCTGCTGAATTGATTTTCATTGTCCTAAACTACCATTCTTCTACTAACACAGATTCACTAACTCTGCAGTAGGGGGTCTTTCAAGAAGAGTTGAAATTCAGCTGACAAAGAAAATCCATTTTAATCAAACTGAAGTTTTGTCACCTTCTTTAGAGATGAAGTCTACACCTTACATTCTCTGAATACTTTAAAAGTGTAAGCTCAGTGTATGTTAGAATTAAGATATGTCTCTTTTGCATGCATGCTTGCACATAAACAAAATCCTTACAATCACAAAGAAATATCTTCTTGGTTTCCATTGTTCAAAGAAATAGGCAGCATTATAAATGCCAGTCCATTCTGTTTGTGATGGGTTGCAATGTGCAGCTGTTATTAGTATACTGTACTGCCAATAACGCTACGAGGCCTTATTATCAAAGCTAATAGGTGAACATCATTCTTTACTTATTTTGGGGGAACAACAAACTAACTTCATAGAGCTGAGCCTTTCTCAAGAAGCTGCCACTTGTGCAGCCACTCAAGAATCTCCCAACATTTTATGGAACCCGAAAGTTCATTACCATGTTCAAAAGAGCCATCTATGGGTCCCTATCCTGAGTGAGACCAATCCAGTCCATACCACCCCATCCTATCGAAGACCCATTATATTATCATCTACCCACCTGTCTTCTTAATGATCTCTTTCCTTCTGGCTTTCCCACCAATATCCTATATCATTCCTATCCCTCATTCATGCTACATGCCTTTCCATCACATTCTCCTTGACTATATAATTCTAATTATACTTCATGAAGAGTGTAAGTTATGAAGCTCTTCATTATGCAGTCTCCTCCAACCTTCTGTCACTTCATCTCTCTTTGGTTCAAATGTTCCTCCCTTAATGTCAGAGCCAAAGCTTCACACCTATACAGAACCACAGCCTTAATTATAGTTTTGTATATTCCATTTTTACATTTTTTTTTAGACAGAGGATGAGAAGATAAATGGTTCTGGACAGAATGGTAGCGAGCATTACCAAATTCAATCTCCTCTTCATTTCCTCATGAATCAAATTTTGATTAGTTACTGTCATTCCCAAATATTTGAACTGTATCACATCTGTCAGTTATCTTTATGTCATGCTTTCGCCCTGCATTGTGGTGACGAGACAGTAACATATACTTAGTTTTCTCTGTGTTTACTTCCAGACCAACCTCTTTACTAGCATCAGTTAAAGTTTGTGTGTCCTTCTTTATGGTATCTATGTTACCTCCCAGTAGATTCACATCTACAGCAGAGACCATCAGATGATGTGTCCCATTCAATTTCAGATCCACCTGGTTTCCCTGGACCTTCCTAATGGCATATTCTATGGCAAAGTTGAAATGCAGTAGTGATAAAGCATCTCCTTGTTTTAGACCATTTTCGATATGAAAATTATCAGACAAATGTTTACCTATACAGACTATACGTTTTGTTTAAACACATTTTAATCACGCTAACTAGTTTCACTTGTACCCCAAACTCTATGAGAATATTCTATAATACTTCTCTCTTAACTGAAGACTTTCTTGAAGTCTATGAATAGCTGATGTACTGTCTCATTATACTCCCATACTTCCATTTTTTCTCCAGTATCTAATGAACGCAAAAATATGATCAGTAGTTGATCTGTTATGTCAAAACTCACACTGATTATCCCCAATAATTTCTTCTACATATGGACTTAACCTTAAGAGAAGGATATTTGATAAGTATTTATATGAAGTTGATAGCAGTGATATCCCATGATAATTACTGCTGTCAGTCTTACCACCCTTCTTATCAAATGGTACTACAATAACAGACTCCTTCCACTGATCAGGCAATTCTTCCTTATTTCAAATAGAATTAATGAAGTTTTGGATTTTGGGCTGTAATGTTTCACATCCTGCATGAATCAGTTCTGCTGGAATGTGATCACTACCTGGTGATTTATACCTTTTCAACTTTTCAGTAGCAATTTCAACTTCAAAAGGACTAGGATCAGGTACTAATGGCTCAGCTGTATGTATTTCTATCTGCCTAACATCACTGATCCTATGTACATTCAATAAATTAGAGAAGTAGTTCTTCCACTTATTCAAAATGTTGGGGGGCACATAGTAGCATAGCTGGTTAAGGTACTATGCTACAAGCCAGAAGGTCGTAGGTTCGATACCCAACGAGGTCACTGGATTTTTCAATTAACCTAATCCTTCCAGCCACACTATGGCCCTGGGGCTGACTCAGCCTCTAACAGAAATGAGTACCAGGAATCTTCCTGGGGGTAAAGGGTGGCCAGCGCATAAGGCTTAAACCTCACTGCAATCTGTGAGCCAACTGTCTAGAAAATGTGGGGGCCTTGACGTCTCACAACCCTGTGGGCCTCCATGGCCTGTTACAGGGATAGCTTTTTTATTTACAATGTTGTGGGAATCTGCAAGCAGATTATCATTCTCCTTGATGAGTAAGCTACTTTTAGGTTGGTAACACCTCTTAAATTCATTTATTCCTATATACAGGTTCCTATGTTCCTGTTCTTCTTTGTTCTTCTTCAGATGTTCAAGTAAATTTAAGAATGTTACAGTGTGGTAATTTGCAGTACAGCCCAGTACTAGAAATAAAAATTTGAATGAATTAAGACTGAAAGTGTTATCTGTAGTAAACGTGAAAATCGACAAAGAGTTCTAAAATATTACTTCTTACATGATGTTCTGAAAGCAATCTGTGAACGTCTCAATTTTTCACTTTTTTCTATTAAATGAAAGAAGCGTATTCATATAAAATCCATGAAAATCTTATTCTGTCACTTCAATCATGAAGGAGGCAGCAAGATCCTTCAAATACTTGGTTATTTTTAACACGCTGCCTTGGTGTGATATTCAAGATTCTTAAAACGAATATGGACTGCCATAAAAATCTCATATATCTCATCCCTTTTCTGATACCTACTTTTCATTTCAACAGCCACACTGATGCTGTTTTATATTCACTGCCAATATCAATGAAAAAACAATGTAATATCAAGGACAGTCCACTACAAAAGTACAATGAAATCCCCATTTAATGAATCTTTGGGGGAACGGCTCTCCTTAAACTACAGAGGGGCATTCACTAAATCAGGGTTATGCAAAATTATATCAATAAACTACCCAAAGCCAATAATATTAAACTAATTTCTAAAATAATTAATACCATAAAAACAATAAAAAATATTAGTCTAGAACCAAAACAACTATGTCACAAGTGACATCGCTCCAGTGCATGTTCACCATGTGATGCCACCTGCCAAAGATTACAGTTTTGCAGTAATGATTTATCAGAGAGAAAAAAATGTTACAATAAATCACAATCAAGGTACAGGTTCTAGGAGGCTGAGCATTTTTTACACTAATTATGTTGTACAGTGTTTATATTGGACTTTGGCTGAGACCAACAAAAATATTCATTAAATATGGTACGGTAAAAAGGTAAAGCTATCCCTCTAAACAGGCCGTGAAGGCCCACAGGGTTGCGAGAAGCCGAGCGTCCAACATTAAGCTCACAGATGGCGGTGAGGGTGTCAGCCTTACGTGCCTGCCGCCCTTAATACCCCAGGAATATTCCTGGTACTCATTTCTGTTAAGAGGCTGTGTAAACATCAGGGCCATAGTGCAGCTGGAAGGAATAGGTAAACTGAAAAAACTGAATGACCTCATCGGGACCGAAACCCGCTACCTTATGGCTTGTAGCATAGTGCCTCAACCAGGAATTTCACTAAACAAAGGAACACTAAATTTGGATTTCACTGTAATGGGGGCTTTAAAACTTCATAGTTTTGATAAATCAGCAGCTATGTACCTGAGATTTCTCTTTATTTCTGTGTCACCAATTCTGCTGTTTGACATCTGCCCATCCTTCTTATCAGCATTTGAAGGAGATGGATCTGTGTGACTATCACCAACTGAAATTTCAACAAAAATAGTGATGAGCAAATGTAAAGCAACATGTTTTGTTAGTATGTGCACAGTATAACCTGATGTTATTACAAACAGGTCTAATATCTGTAGTAAAACTAACTTTGTATGCCTGAGCCACAGACTGAAAAGGATAAAGCTATATTAAATACACAGAAGAAGAAACTTTTAAGGAAAGTGTATTGATCTGTAACTGACTATGGCATTTAGACAACCACAACAAAAGAAGATCTGAGGGAATTAAATAAATATTCTGATCTGTTGGTGGTTATTAAAAAAAAAGGTGGGAATGGTCAGGGGATACAATTAGAAAGGATCAAACAAGGATGGCTATGAATACTTTCAAAGTAAGCCAGAAGGAAGGCCCACATTATGTTGGTTTGAAGATGCAGCTGACAGCTGAAAGGGAAAAGGTGGAAACAAAGGTACAATAATAAAGAAGAATGAGCATCCATCTAGCTCCACATATTCTTAACCTTGGCACTAAATGGAGGTACATGGTAGTTTCACACCCTGGCCAATTCAACTCTGGGAAAAGAGCCTCTAATACCTACTGGATAGGCGGTTGGGTGGACTGCACTGTGAGTCTGCAGAAAAAACTCTTGCCATGGCCAGGACCTGCATCCCATTTCCTCAGCCATCCTAGTCACAATCATCTGTTATTGCTTAGTATCAAATCTAATAACTTATTTTATTTTGGAGAATATAATTTCCAGTATAGCAAAGTGCTAAGTCTGATAATTTGAAAGAATTAAAAGGCTGAAAGTGTAACTGTAGCAAATGTGAAAATATGAGAAGTCCTAAAAATGTGCAGCCCTGAATGTCTCAGTTTTTTGTTTTTTCCCTTCTATTTCCATTTGAATGTAAGTTAAAAATTCAGGTTCTCTGGAGTAACAGCTGGCCCAGGCGGTAAATTCCTAATACTGGGGCACGACAGTGAACAAGTTAGGGTAAGACCAAACTTTTGGAAAGAAGCGGACATCAATATCACTCATAAGTTTTACCTTTAGAATGAAGCATAGGTTTCTTGGCTTCTCCTGATGAAGCTGAAACATCACTTTCAGGACTTAAAGGCATGACAAAGTCAGCCACGTTGGAAGGTGGTGGTGTCCTGTTTCCAGCATCATCACCACACACTTGCCCTGAAGATCTCCTGGGGGGTGGTCTTCCTAAGCCAACACGTCGACTCCTCCCTAATTTCTGCCGCCTTCTCTCTGGTCTCTTCCCAACCTCATGGGCAGATCTAATAGTGCTAACATCATTCCCTGTCACCAGCAAGGAATCTCCTACAGAATTTCCTACCTTCACCGAAGAGGGCAAAATATCAGACTTATCATCTTGTCTCCTGAATCCACTCTCAACCATGAGGTCTCTCAATGTGGGGAGAATCAGATCTTGATTCAGCATTGAACCATCTCCACAACCTCTCTCATCCTCTGAGCTTCCCTTATCAATATTGTTGTTGTCTTTTATGATGTAATATGCATCTCCAGTCAAGGGTTCTGTTACAATTTCCCTGTCAGAATTGCCATCATCTGCTTGAGTTATGGTGGCAGGAACTTTCAATCTTCTAAAACAAATCTTATTTCCTCCTAAAGAAATGGGAGACACACTGTTTGCTCTATCTGGAACACCCTTAGAAACATCATTGATGACATCTGTTGGAAATTCATCATCAAGAATAATGTTGTCTCGTTCCTCTGAGAAGGCATCACGACTAAGATCCTCATCCTCCAGGCATGAGGCAAACATTTTGTCTGAATAACGTGTGTTCGGTTTCCGGGCTCTTCGAAGATCCCACTTATCTCCTGTAACTTCTGGTGGTTTCATTTCAGACACAGAAGCAGTCTCTTTCTTTACTCTTTTCTTTGAAAACACTCTTTTCCTATGCAGCTTTGAGCCACAATCTGGAGTCTTTCCTGTACCCAACCCATTCGAAGACACTTCAATTCTTTCACAGGTACTCTTATTACAGTCTGTACTTACTACTGATGACGAACATTGTCCCAAAACTCTCTTCACCCTCCTGTCATCTAACATGTCATCAGCAGATGTGTCTGATGAACTGCTAAGTGCTGACATTGATCTTAAATCTGTTCTTTCCTCCACACTGTTCCTCAGTGTGTCATCACATGAGTCAATAAAGACAATAGCTCCTTCAGGTGGTGCAGCAACTGAAAAAGGATCAAGTACTGTTGAATTTTTATTTGCAATACAAAGAGACCCGTGTATGGTGGAGTTCAGGCTAGGCAGAGCTTCTTTAGACAGCTCTCTGTCTTCTGGCAAATCCAGAATAACCTCCGTGCCCTTGTCAGTCCGTACTATCTTGGCACCAAGTTCTGCAGCAACTATGTCATCTAAATAAGAACTGGGCAAATGAATGATATCATCCACATCACTTCTTTCTGATCCAGAGTCTGACGATGTAGAAATTTCTGACAAGTTATCACACTCTACAAGCTGCTTGACATATGCCAGGAAATCAGAGTCGGCTCTGCTTAAAGCAGTAGGAATCAATTCTGAGTCAAAATACTTTAGCTCCCGGGTATTATCTTTTTTATTTTGAACCTCTGGCATTTGTTTATTAGACAATGATGTGTCTATCTCATTGCGTAATGACTTTTCTATGTCACCCAATTTTCAACGCTTTGCAACAACTGGCTTTGTAACTTTCTTTCCCTTGTTAATCTCCTTTACTCCTTCTTTGATATTCTTATTTTTCTGCAATTCCCTTTGCTGTTTGCGCTCTTTCTTGGCTAATGATTTCCTCAGCATCATAATTTTTTTAACTTCAAATATATTTGCAGCAATCTTCGGTTTCTTAATCTTGCTGCGTGATAATTTCCCATTTCTGCTATGGGTTGATTCAAGTTCGTCATCAGACTGGACAGAAACAGGTCGTTTCTTGAAAGGCAGAGATGATGGTGGAGAAGCTGATTTTGATGATGAAGGTATATTTTCCTCAACATTCTTGGAAGACTCCATTGCTTGGGTGCTGGCCCCAGATGAGTCACTGTTTCCACCACTGTCAGACTTACTGCTGTTACTACTGCCACCACTTTTATTGTGATGGGATTGTGTACGCTGAGAGTCATTACCATTTGTTCGAGATGTGGTACTGCCAAGTGATCTATCCTGAGGGGTTCCATTGCTATCTCGATCTGTCGACCGCCTGTCACCTGAATGCTTATCCCTATGTATCCTATGGTCATCAGATACACTTTTCCCTTTTTCTTTGCCTTTCTTACCACTATCCTTGCTTTTATGTTCAGTGTGCACTGATTTAGTGGAATCTCTCTCTTTCTTTTTCCTGTCAGCTTTCTTTGTGCTCCCCTTTTCTGCAGTTTTATTGGTTTTATCCCCATGTTTAGACTTATCTTTACCCCTTTTCTCATCATTTTTATTGGCTGCATCTTTACCCTTATCTTTTGTTTCTTGTTGTTTCACTCTGTCTCTGGATTCCTTGCTACTTGATCTACTACTATCTTTACTGTTTTTGTCATCATACTGTGCAGACTTATCTTTATCTGACTTATCTCTGTTTTCAGATTTTGACCTATCCTTGTGTTTGTCACCATGTTTCAATTGCCCCTTTTCTCCTGGCTTTGGTTTTATCTTCCGATCTCGTTCTCTCTTCTCATCACTCTTTGGCTTTTTAGTATCCTTTTCATGTCTTGACACAGCCCCATCTTCTTTCTTAGATTTCTCCTTGCTGGAGTCCTTCCCTACTTTCTTTTCCTTTTCATCTTTATTCTCCTTTACTTCTTGCTTAAATTCTTCTTTCATAACAACTTTTTCACTTTTTTCTTCATGTTCAACTTTTTCTTTAACTCCATCTTTCTCAGTTTTCTCCTTCCCATCTTTATTTGACTTTTCTGCTCTGCTCCTACTGTCAACTCTATTTCTCTTGTTTCTGTCCTTGTCACTTCTCTTTCTGTCTCCTTCTGATGAGTGTCCACTGCTGTCATTCTTCTTTGTGTCTTTACTTTCACTGTTCAATTGTTTCTTTTCCTCTTTCTTTACTCTAGCTTTATCTCGGTCCTCTCTGTGTTTCTCCTGTTTCTTATCATGCTTGTCCTCTACTTTCTTTTCCAATTTAGTATCTAATTTCTTGTCAGGTTTCTCATCTGTTTTCCGCACCAATTTAATATCTAATTTCTTTTCTGACTTATCAGCTAACTTTCGTTCAGATTTATCATCTATTTTCTTTCCAGATCTTTCATCTGATTTCTTTACAAGCTTCTCATCTAGTTTTCTTTCAGACTTTTCATCTGGTTTTCTTTCAGATTTCTCAACTAATTTGCTCTCAAGCTTCTCATCAGTTATTTTTTCGGACTTTTCATCTGATTTTCTTTCAGTTTTCTCAACCAATTTCCTCTCAAGCTTCTCATCAGTTATTTTTTCAGACTTTTCATCTGATTTTCTTTCAGTTTTCTCAACCAATTTCCTCTCAAGCTTCTCATCAGTTATTTTTTCAGACTTTTCATCTGATTTTCTTTCAGTTTTCTCAACCAATTTCCTCTCAAGCTTCTCATCAGATTTCTTTTCAGACTTTTCCTCTGATTTTCTTTCAGGTTTGTCACCAAATTTCCTCTCAAGCTTCTCATCTGACTTCTTTTCAGACTTTTCCTCTGATTTTCTTTCAGTTTTCTCAACCAATTTCCTCTCAAGCTTCTCATCAGATTTCTTTTCAGACTTTTCCTCTGATTTTCTTTCAGGTTTGTCAACCATTTTCCTCTCCAGCTTTTCATCTGATCTCTTTTCAGACATTTCAACTGATTTTCTTTCAGTTGTCTCAATTAATTTCCACTCAGAGTTATCATCACATTTTCTCTCAGATTTATTTGCAGTCTTTTCATCCAACTTAACTTCATATTTCTCAACCAATTTCCTCTCAAACTTTTCATCACATTTCTTTTCAGACTTTTCATCCAATGTTCTTTCCCTCTCAACCAATTTCCTCTCAAGCTTTTCATCAGACCTCTTCTCAGACTTTTCATATGATTTTCTTTCAGGTCTCTCATCTAATTTCCACTCAGACTTTTCATCACATTTTCTCTCTGACTTTTCATCAGATTTTCTTTCTTTCTTATCATCCAGCTTCCACTCAGATGTTTCACCATCTTCTTCAGGCTTCTCCATCAACTTTCCCTCAAGCTCATCTTCTTGTTTCTTTTCAAATTTCTCATCCAGTCTTCTTGCAGACTTTTCATCTGATTTCCTATCAAATTTATCATCCAATTCCCTTTCGGACCTCTCACCAGATTTAATTTCAGGTTTCTCTTCTAACCTTCTTTCAGATTTATCATCAATTTCCACTTCATGCTTTTCATATAATTTCCTTTCAAGATTCTCGTCTGATATATTTTCATATTTCTTTTCTACTTTCCTTCCATGATCATCATCTGAGATTTTCTCACTTTTCTCACTTTCCTTCTTTATATATATTTCTTCTGATTTTAACTCATTCTGCAATTCTGCCCTTTTATCAATTCTTCTTTCAGATTTCCCATCTGTATTTTTCTCAAATGTTTTTTCAATAATTTCATTTCTTTTCTCATCATTAGTAATATTAGATTTACTTTCACATTTATCTGCCAATATTATATCTTCATTTTCATCAGATTTATAACCAAACCCTACATTTTTATTTATATACTCTTCAACAAATCTTGCCCTAGGTGTATTGTTACACATCCTTTCAAATAAGTCATCAAATTCCTTTTCTGATTTTTCATCTAGTTTCTTCTCCTCTGTAATACTTTCTCCTCGTGTTGAATTTTGTTGGCTTGTCACACCATCTGACACAATGTGGGAACTATCACGCATATATGTCTGCCATTTGCTGGTATATATACTTGTGTCTTCACAGAAAGTATCCCCGCTGACTTGACTATCCCCCCCTTTCATTTCATTTTCATCATTTGTGAATTCCATACTCACAGACATCTGTGTATCTTGTCCAGAAATGTGAAGTGAAGAGTCTGACTGTTGGCTATCATCACCTACTTCAGCATCATGTGACAGCTTAGAGTCTTGTTCACACAATGAAACAATAGACAGTCTACTTCCTGATGATACTTTTGAAAGCTGGCTGTCATTGTTCGAGACATCTACAGCTCGCAGTTTTGTTGTCGAAGTGTTGTTTTCATGTGCATAATTTGAAATATCAAAGGAGACATGTGAATGCTGACTGTCATGACTTGTGAGCTCTGATATTCCTGACAGATGACTATCCACTGAACTCTCTCCTAAGTGTGAGCGAACTTCTTCAATGGGTTCAAATGGAGGTGATGAATCTTCTTCTTCTTTTCCACCAGGCAACCCAACTTCTCCGGCTTCATCTGAATTATATTCATCGTCTTTTAACGTATCACTCTCCGGAGAAATTGGTTCTAATTCCTTCGGCAATAAATCTGTAAGTGTTGGCAATTTCCTCTCTTCCTTCCGTGTAGTATTCTCAAAAGTTGATGGTGCAAAAGACACTGCAACAAACACACATGGCATAATGAGCTCCACACTCATGGCATTATGTTTCATAGTTTTAAACCCATATCCAACACCGGTATAAAACATACATATTGTGACATGCTGTGCAATGGAGAACCCCTCCCTACCCAGCAGCAACGTGGCAACTCAGGCCACAGTGACGTGGCGGATGAGTCAGCGCTCCCCTCCCACCCTCCGCATGGTAACGTAACGCGCGGTGACATAAGACGGCGTGAGGTAACAGCGTTGCTACGTAACAGGCCCACACAGCCCCTATATAAGAGAGCTGCGCTGCCTGCGAGGAGAGTTGTTGAAATGTGGCAGTCGCCGAGATCAGTAGTAGTCGAGCCAGTGTGTTATCAACAGTTCTCAAGGCAGCAGCCTGCGAGTCGAGTTGAAATATAGCAGCCATCGCGGAAAGAAGTACCGGACGTGTGTGTACCTGTGTAATTGGTAGTGTGTGAGACAGAGAGACTTGTATAGCTCCCGTACTGTGAATACGTGTAGCCTTACTGAAGATAGAGTGAACTGATTTGGGCATAGGGTTATAAATCGTGAAACCCCGCAACAGTGTAAACAGATTAATGCGATTAGGGTTATAAAGTGCGAAACCCCGCAACTGTGTGATAATTAATTGTAGCCATTATTTGTAGGTTGTTGAATAAACCAATCAACAATCTCTACGGCGTCTTCAGTAACTCAACACGTTACAATATGAATATACCTGAATTTCCAACAGCGTATTGTAGCCAGAATTTCTAAATTTGCATTACTGCAATGGCGCATGTGTGTTGTCCAGGTAGCTGAGCACTGTATTTTTCAACAGTAATACTACTAACCTCAAATTAATATATGGGCACCAGACCCATAGTACTAAGGGATCATCCTTTATTCCTGGATATTAAATTGTTACTCCCAGTAACGACAACAACAACAACACATTCACCTGCTAACTCCACAGTACTAGGAGATCTAAAATCCCTATTCCAGCATAATAGTTTTAAAAAGCTGAAGAGAAAATCAAAATTTAACACTAACATCAGTGAATCCATAATCACATTCAAATACACTTTCACCTTTGATTTGGTTCATCCTGGTCAGTCACACTAGCAATATTATAAAAGGTTAATCAACTCCATCCAGTGTGACTGATAAAAACTGACAACACGGCATGGTCCAAACAACAGGACGACATTAAAGAGTCCTATTCATCAACTGGCGGAACAAGTTGGAAAACATTCAACTTCCTTTAAAGAGAGGCAATATAAATGACATCAACCAAACTGGTTCTAAAAATTTAACAAAAATCTTTTTTAAATCACACTTGTAAACAGACTCATTGTAATAATTTATAAAGATTTTAATATATTCATGCAAGTCGCTGTAGTTGTTAAAGAATCAGATTTTATATTCATGGCATTGTGATGATACTGTATGTATGTACTGATACCAAACAAACTGTAACAGTAGTTTCTGCCTGTATTGATATATCCTTCTGAAGATGGTCTCCCAGGCCGAAACATGTCAAGGATGAAAGATTAAATAGGAAAGAAAGAAAATACACTTTATCAGTCACAGAGTTGATTAACCTTTTATACCACTTTCACCTCTCTATTACGAAACTCTCCAGTTCTAAATGCTCATTTATTTAAGGCTTATTTAATGACGACAGTAGCTCAGACTACAGAGCACTGAAAGACAGGATGATAAGTGAATAATGAGATGGAAATGACACATAGACAGATGACCGTCTGACTTGAGGTAGTGTCTTGGCATCTGCCAGAAGAGACAGAGAAGAATCACAGAAGGCCTCAGTCAGGATGGCCTGTCTCAGGGCCCACATTTGAACTAAGAGTTCTACCCACCCAACCACAAGTGTTTTTTTCCCCCTTTGGCACTACAGCCCCAGTGGGCCTAGGCCTACCTCCATGAACTTCTCTGTTCACTTGGGTTTTTCTAGATCTTACATATACGGTAGGACTCCTTGGGTGGGTGATCAGTTCGTCGCAAGGCTTCTACCTGTACACAAACACAGAAAAACACACACACACACCCATGCCCTGAGTGGGATTCGAATCCATGATTCCGGTTTCCAAGTGAGCGAAGACAGTACATGCCTTAGACCGCTCGGCTACCGTGACCGGCAACCACATGTGTTTAGTCTTTACAATTAAATGTGGTCACAATAAGTTTAATCACTACCAAATACTTTCACAGATAGGAGATGAAAATTTTAGCTCATATATAAACTGGTCCCAGGCTGAATGTCACGTGTGGGATACAAATAAACAGTCTGCTTTACAATCACAGTTATGAACCACCAGATGTTGTAAGAGATGAATGAACCACCTGTTCAGCAAAAGTTCTGTTAACAGATATCTATCTCATATCACCACAAAGACTGAACTAACCCCCTTGTTTTCATGTCTGTGATAAGTGAAAAATCAAAGCTGACATGTTGAAAAACCTTGGAAATGAGTTATTAATATTCACTCTCTCCTTCATTTTTCATTTCTCCAAGGATGTCAAACAGTAAATTTGAATAGTAAATGGTATCTTGCATACACATTATACAATACAAGGGACAGTATGTTATATTTCTTATATATTATTTTATGGTACATGGAATGGCATAAGAGAAAGTACAATTGTGTGGGTACATAGAGCTTCTCTTATGGTGAGATGTCTGACAAGAAGAACTTTGTCTGTTAACCAAGACAGCATCTGTTGACGACCACATAATTTATGCACACTCAGATTTCACTGTGAAGTCATGAGAAGAATAAATAGATCCTCTTACATTTTATGCACATATTTTACACATACAGGGTGATATAATCAAGAAATCTACTGACAAACACTAAATGGGATATTGGCAAGTAAACTCACAAAAGCCTATGGGCAGTGAGCTGGCAGATATATCTGGCACTCTTCAACAGGAACCCATTTTGGGAGTAGGAGTCTACATGTTACATGATCTGCCACATAACCTTGCAGTCACGTGAATGGAACAGATGACAAGTGTCATATAAAAGAAATGTGATGCATGTCACATGAAGATGGGTTAACGAATGTACAAAAACTTACAAATTTTAAAAAAGAAAGACTATAATTTGTTACCAACTGACCCTGTATATATGCCATCCAAATTTTGGATGAAATCTACATTTAGCAGTATACAAACAGAGCGATATTTTCATGATGCAGCATTTTCATTCATATTTGTGTAAATCATGTACAAAAGTCCCTGATCAAAAAATTTGGAGAGAGAGGGGCAAGCATGAATTATGCAGTAGAATTGTCATAGTCACCACTGTAAGAACCTCAAATTATATGGTGACTATGACAATTATTTTCTTCTGGAATGTAACCCCACAGTCTGGTATACCATTACCAACATTTTGGAAGAAGCTGCTGCCTCCATCTTCAGGTAGAAAAGTGACTCACCTACACTGAATATGGAGACAAGAGGTGCCTCTGAAATGTTATCTAGTTAATTATTACTTAAATTAGGAATTTGACAGTCACATTTTAAAATGACAGTTTACTGTAATCTTGCACCAATCATGTAAGTGTACAGTACAGTACATAAGTAACTGTTCATACCATTCTGGTTTTCTTTCCCCTTCTTTGGTTTTTCAATGCCAAGGAATTTGTATACCACATCTTCCACTTGTGGCATGAATACAGTCAAAATCTTTGGGTTGACAACCTGGTCGACAATCCTCTCCACACCAATGTCCAGAAAACCAGACCTGTGTGATGAAATCAAAATGTGAGTGCCAAGCTTTCGGTACGCCAGTCAGTCATGTTTTACGCATCTCTATACCTATTTATGGTTTATTAAAGAATGCTATCAGGGCCTCCAAGTACATAGTGCTGAATGATACAGTCAGTAAGAAACGAGTTTTAAAGGAAGTGGATATGGCTTAATTTGAGGTACTATCCTGGTATCTTCTTGGATTGGTGAGACAAAAGCCAGGAAGAACTTCAGTCAAGATAGCCAGTCTTTGAGGCCAAGATCCTAAGCCGGGACCTCCAAAACAATGTGCAGTGCTAACCACTGGACCCCAACATTCAGTCTTTTGCATCACATTATAAATCTGAAACTATATATATATATATATATATTCAGATTTAGAATGGAGCATNCGGACACATAATATGTGCTGGCGAGAATAGAATCATCAAAAAAATGCTTAACACCAAACCAGAAGGAAATAGAAGAGTGGGGAGACCGAGATTAAGATGGGAAGAATGTGTGTGGCAGGACATAAGAATTTTGGGTATAAAGAACTGGAGGAATGTAGCATCAAATAGAGAAGAATGGCGAGCAATCCTGAGGAAGGCCAGGGCTTACAAAGGGCTGTCATGCCAGTGATCATGACGATATATACAAAAATCTGGCAATGCTGAGAAACCTATGCTCTAACTACAAGTACAAAGATGAATGGTTGAGAATTCATCTGGAATATGTCCAACAACTTCTCACTCAGGCGCATGAGGTACTATTTCATGTCTTCTAGGAACCATACATCATTCATCTCAGTCATTCTAAATGCTTTAATATTATATATAATGCTCGTGTGATCATACACTCAGTCGTACTCTAACTTTCTGATCCATGTACAATTTGCTAATCAATCTTCTCTGTAAGAGTAAAGTAAATTTTTATTTATTTTTATAGAGAAGCAGAAGTACCCATTCTTCACCTGAAACATAGCTGCTTTCCTTCCCACTGTTACAATATAAGTTGGTATAGGGGTATGTAGTAGCATAGTTGGTTGAGGCACTATGCTACAAGCTGGAAGGTCGCAGGTTCAAGGCCTGATGAGGTGGATTTTTTCAATTTACCTAATCCTTCCGGCTGCACTATGGCCCTGGGGTCGACTCAGCTTCAACCTTCAAAATTGGCTTGCAACCCCCAGCCATTGTCTAATGGGCTGCTAGCAAACTTTCACTTTTATGACCATTGAGACAAGATACACCTTCCTACTAGTCCGGTAGTCTCTTGTACATTGTCATTCAGTTCATTTTCACACATCGACAGGTGCTGATGTTACATTGTGATGAACGTATAAAGGTTATAATTAAATATCAAATTATCAACTACGAGTTTTCTTGCATATGTTTGTTTGGTACTTGTCAAAAATGGCATTCTCTTGCTTTTTAAAACTGTAAGATATGTGACTTTAGGTAATTATATTGAAATTATTCCTAAATAATAAATAGAATTAAATTTCCTTGTATCAAAATCTAATATACATTTCTATTTTGAAGTGTAGCCCTGGACTATTATTATTTATAGGACTGAGGTGGCCCTCTGTACAAGTTGAGTTTGACATGCCTGGTATAGAAGATGTAGGAGCCTTAACCTCTCACAATCTTATGGGCCTCTATGGCCTGTTACAGGGATAATTTTACCGTTTTACCTTTTCCCCCCCAACTTTAGAGGATGAAAAGAAGACTCAGAATAAAAATATGAATCACATTCAAAATATCCCTTATCATGCCTGCATGTAAGTCTAATACTGTGTGGTATCTGCTTTTTCTCTTTTGTGAGTTATTCAATAACACTGTAAGTATCTAGACTATATGGTGTCAGATGGGAGAATGATGAGTAACACATCTGAAAGGATTTGGTAGGAAACAGTCAGAACTTAATCAAGGTACTATTGGTATTTGCATGGAAGGATTGAGAAAAAACATGGAAACCCTCAGTCAGGATGGTTGGTATCCTGGCAAAGATTCAAACCAAACACCTCCCAAATTCATGTCTCAAGTGTTAAGACTAGACGAGCCTGATCTGTACTGTACTGAGGATGGAAGTGGTAGGAGATTCCTCTGAAACACTGGTGCCTTTCTATGAAAACAGACGTCACATCCCAAAATACTGTAACCTTTTCGATTTGTTAATTTCAGTGTTAACCCCTCCTTAAAGACCTAGCTACTACAGATGGTGAATGTGACAAGGGTGATAATCATATCCCAGATGAAGAGATGACCCTCGTTTGCAGTCAATAAGACTTTAAGTTCAAAATTGATTTCAATAACTAGACAACTTGAAACGCAGTCACTCTTAAAACATCTCTAAGAGTATATTATCCCCTGAGTATGCAATTTTATGAAAAAAAAAATGAAGTCCTCTTTATAAAGTGAGATCCCCAGTACCATGACTTTGGCTCTCTTTGTATGTTGAGAACAGAATCCAGTAACTTTCTAAAGATAGCATAAAGACCCATGACTGTATCATGAAAAAACCTCATAGATCTGATGATGCAACCTCAAAGATGTCTTAGGCAAAGTACAGTAACAAATGTGCAATGATAAATGTGCACAAGTTACAACACCCAACTGATGTTGATTCTCATACAGAAACTTCCAGCATAGCGGCAGCCCGGGTTCGATCCCAGGTCTGGTCAAGTGGGATTTGTGGTGGACACAGTGGTGGGTTTTCTCCAAGTACTTTGATTTCCCCTGCCAATCTTCATTCCACCAAATTCTCCATCATCGTAATCACCCGGGGCAGGTACAATAGGCCAATCAGTGGCCACTATGCCGAGTGGAACCAGCTGGACTCCAACCCCTACTAAGCGAATAAAAAAAACTTCCAGCATATAATACAATTACTTACTCATGAATGTGCTTTCTTAGGCTGTCACGCAACTGATTTTTGTTCAAATCTGGTCGCCAGACCTGGCTTGCTAAGAACCCAGACACACTACCTTCTACTCTCTGGTGGAGATTTTGGTATGCAGGCTGAAAAATAAAGACTAAAGATAATACTAATCCAGCTGTGACAGAGAAATGTATCCTTGTTTATTGGTGAACTAGGTAATGACAATTATGATGGTCTGCTGTCAGTGGATGAAAAAGAGAGATTAGGTATTTTTAAAAAAGTTTGTTTTTACACACAATGTTTGGCAAAAATATTTTTTCTAGACTGCAGCAATGCTTACTGCACATTGTTGTTCTATCAGGATAAATATTTTAGCATATATATAGTTGTCTTCTAAAACCTTTAAGGTTAGGAAATTAGTCATAGTTTGTATTTAGAAATATTCCGACTGGAACTTCTATGGGCATTATATTAGTATTATTATAATCGTAACAGGTTATTTATTTGGTTATTTTACCACTGTCAAAGTTATACGAGTATAATTTCAAATATGAAATGACAGTATAGTCAAGAAATTTGAGTTCAGACAGAAATGGAAAGATGTAAAATATTACAAAGCAGTTCAACCATTTACATGGACAGCTGAGGAAAATCACATGAAACCTCAATATAAATGTTATCTGGTTGGGATTCTATCTGGTTACTTACCAGGTATAAGCCAAACATTTTACAGTCATCAAAAACACTTTTTGTGTCAAAACTCATAACAATTTTAGTAAAACTTGGTTTTGGTAAAATAATATTTTGATATTCTATGGCCAAAAATATATTTCATATCACAATTTTTAATCTTTAATAAAATAACATCCGACTCCTAATATTCTATAATAAAATGTCCCAATATCCTATCTGCTGTTACTTAGTATAAAGACTAGGCTATGAGTTGGATGACTGGGAAATGAAAGTTCAATTCCTGGGAGGGACAGAGATTTCTTTTTCTCCATAGTGTTCAGACTGGCTTCGGAGTCTGAATGACTACATTCAAGTAATTGGGGCTCCTTTCCAGGGCTAAAACAACTAGGGCATGAAGCTGACCACTCACTTCCAACTACAGTGAGGTCAGTAATGCAGTGAGCTATAACTATACTCCTTCATACATCTTCATGATATCCTGCTTAAATGAGCACAAGGACAACTTTACATTTCTTTACGCACCTTAATATAAATAATTAACATAGAAAGATAATAAAGGTCATCATATTTAACCCGTTGCCGTGGTTCGTCGTGTCTGTTTCGTCAGGGATTTAAATCGTCTGGGGGGGTTCGTCGTGTATGGTTCGTCCAGCTGCACACCTATGTTATAACGCCCATAATAATTGATGGTTTTGCTGTAGATTGTTAGATTTTTCGCTGGCCTGTTGTCACAAGAACAGAGTATACTAAGCCAACGAGTTTAGCTGAGATAAGTCGTCGTTACATATGCCTGTCTTGCAGCAAATTCGTGTTGCTTCTTGTAGCGGTTTCGTCACTCAATGGCGTATTTGCTTTGCTTGTGAAGTAATAAACACCAGAGAGGTGATGTGTGCTGTTGTATATAATATCATATTGCCCTGAGCTGGCCACACAAACACATTCCATTGGA